CCACAACTATTGATGCTCTGAGGGAACATTCGGGCCTTGACATGTCGCATCACAATCGATTCTACCGCACTGCATCGTATTACACCAAATTTCACCCAAGTATCGAACATTGTAAAAAAAAAACAGAATCTGGTATAGTTCGGTACGGAGCGGTACACTTGATTGCGACGCGAACTTTTGTGACGCGTCAAGGCCCGAATGTTCCCTGACAACGCAAGTAGACAACAGTTTATACATTACCACAGAAGGATACATTTCCTGACATAAGTACATCCTCATAAATCAACACACTCTATAATACACATGAATGAATACATCCAACAATATGGTACCCTTTCTACTGCACTTCACTGCTTTGCTTCCTTCACTTCCACATTTCCATTCGTCCCCTTGTTCCCCTCTAGGTGCCTGCCCTCGCCCATTCTCCTTTCCACACCGCTTCCCGGGCCCCCTTTTCTCTCTCCTGATCCCGCGATATCTCTTTCACCTCCTACCATGCGTGCACGAGCAGCAGCGCAAGCCTCCTCGTCTATTATCTCCTCTAGAGTTGATCTCGCATACTCCTTGGACGCTACATGACTGTCGGCTCGCGCCATCAGCGCGTCAACAGTCCATGCAGACGTAGCGGACGCGTCTGGTTGGGAGGTAAAAGAGCAATCGTGAATAGCCAAAAAGATTGCATAAGAAAACGGCTAGCATGTCGCACAGACAAATAAACGAGGTGACGAACTGAAGCCGCATCGAATGGGCGATCGCTCCCTGCAAATCCTACGTGGCAGCGAGTTATTGGTGCTCAGAATATGTATTGAATGGATACAGGTTCTCGTCATTCTGGTATCCGGTTAACGAGATATTGGAATAATCATTGCACCAGCTGCACGTGTGTACAAGCATCAAGCAATAACACGAATAAGGTCGATTCACGACCATGCACAACGGACTGAAATCCAAGGAGCAGTGAATACAGATGGTGAAAGCGTTTACCTCGCTTCGACATGGCTGCACAATACGAAACGAGTCCTTGATTACCGACGGCAAATGGAAGCGAAACCTGAAAAGAAACAAAACAGAAAAGGGTGAAGTCGAATCATTACAGAGATCACGGCGACCTCTGCGGAAGCAAGGGCGACACTCCAATGCCAAATGACGCCCGGGTTGGGAGAGGTTACGAGAAGGCAGTTTCGAAAGACCTACGACACCTGTCACGAAATTAGTTGAGACAGCAGTTTCGAAAGTTATCATCGACAGCTAAACCTGATGAGTGAACACTGCAGTGCCTCACCCTTTTTGTTGATAGTAGTATGGGGAAATCGACCACTGATTATTTGCACTGCGGTTCTGTGGGTTTCCACACGGTACGCATAGACTCCGATCGTTACCGTTCTGAACCGTTCTCAAATTTCACGTGATTTAAAATTCAGTGGTGGTGTGGTGGAGCACTCAGTCAGCAGCACCGCGAGCTTGTTTCTGGTGATGTGTGTTGTGGGTGGTGCGCCACACCACGAACAACCCACGTTCCATATCCTCGCTATTGCTGGATGCACTGTACGTGCTGTACAAGTAATGAGGCCAACTACCAACGGAACGTCACACTCATGCAGCAGAAGATATGCAACCATATGATTGAACTTGTTTCTGTCTGTATGATGGGTAGAGGGAGAGTTTCCTGCAAGGAAGCTCCATGACATAATTGTTGGTGAGAGTCCCAACCCAAGGGATGTGAAACTGCTCCTTAGATGCCCTCGGAACTGATGATGCGCTGAGCATGCTCCTTAAATACATGAAGGGTTACCATACATGTAACTCCATATGAACACATGGTACAACAGAAACTATAGAATACATGGTCGGATCACTATTTTAGTTAGTGGTTAGTAGGTCAATATGGCCGTAAGGCCGTAAGTCAGTGTAGAGAGGTGCCATCATGATGCGTACCCAGGGTACTCAACGAGTTTCTTCCACGAGTAAGTCTAAGCCACCTCCACAGCCTCCCCCTCCCCCAGTTGAACCGCATCCTCCGCCGAAGGGGCTTCTTCGCACACATCCATGTGCCCCGCGCGCCAATCCAGCGCCTGGCACGCGCGGGAGCAGTAGCTCGGCCCAGAGCACACCGCGCAGCAGCGGAACTCTTTCTCGCGCGTCTCCGGGCGCCCGCACCGCACGTTTCCGCACACCTTCAGTCCGGTTTCAGGCGCGGGGACGCCGTGCTCCGCGTTCCACTCGAGGAGGAAGCGCGAGGCGGGGGGAAGGGGGAGATCCGGAACGGCGCAACCGAAATCGCTCATGAGCGGGCGCAGGGAGCGGCAGAGGGACTGCAGCAGCTGCGCGGGGGTAGACGCGCCGTTGGCGGAAGGCGGGTTGCAGGGACCCGCGTGCGAGTGCTCGTGCGCGTGCTCGTGCGCGCTCACATGCTCCTGCGCACGCGACTCCGCCGCAACAGACGCCGGAACTTGCCCGTCCTTAACCTGCTCCTGCTCGTTACTCCGCGCCTCGTCCGCGCTCAGCTTCGGAATCACCGCCTTCACGGACTTAATCACGGCGTCGAGCTGCCGAAGCTTCTGTTCAGCCTCGGGAAAACCGCCTTCCCCAGGTAACACCTGGCTGGCCGCAAACTCCCGCAGATTCGCCTCCATCAGTAACCGCCTCCCCTCCGCCACGTTCTTCTTGATCCCGTACCCGTCCTGCAAGCAGTGCCCCAGCTCCCGAAGCGCCGCCACGTGGCCCTGCTGCGCCGCGCTGGCGCAGAGAAGCACGCCGACGGACAGTTTCCGCTTGGGGACCGCGCCGCCGCTGCCGTTGAAATGGACGACCGCGAGAGAATGCAGCGCCCCGGGGTGACCGGCTTTCGCGGCTTGGACTAGGTGTTTGATTCCGTCTTTACGGTCGCCTAGGCAGTAGAACTCGATCATCCCCAGGAGGAACGCGGCTTCGTTGTTGCGCGCGTCCGCGCACGCGCGGAGGAAGCAGCGGTAGGACGCGGAGTAGGCGTGCGCGGGGCAGGTGAGCGCGGAGATGGGGAGCGCGGAGAGTACTTCGGGGAACGTGGCCACGTCGTGGAAGCGCTTGCAGGAGAGGCGCAGACTGGCGAACTCTGCGGCCGACGCGCATTGCGACGCGACGGATGTGGCGATTAGGGAGAGAACATCATCCTGGAATAATAAAAGGAGAGGAGCAAAAAGAAGGAGGTTCTAAGGTTAGAATCCATTCAAAGTGGAAAACGAAGGCCAACCGAAATAACGCACAGTGAACGAGGAGCGCCGAAAGTTAAAGCGAAAATAGGGCACGATGTGGATAGGAGTGCTTACCGGAATCAAGTCCAATGACGATGAGGACTGGGCGACGGCTTTTGTCTCGGACGCGCGAAGACGCTTAGCAGCGGCCATTTCGATAAACGCAGAAGCTGCTCGCTTAGGAACCATTTTGCTATGTGCTGGGCTAGAGAGATCCTTGATTCAAAATTGTTTGTTCGTGGAGTGTTGTCACTGGGACTAGTTGGTGCTTGGCCACAGCAAAGGAGTCAATGCGTAGTGGGAGGGTTGGTTTGGTGGAGCCGAAGAAAGCAAGGGTTTGGTTTGAAATACAGTCGGCACAGACGATCTCCAGTTTATCCATGTGTGGTTGCATCGAATACGACAAATCAATTTCCACCCAAAGAAAACGATAACAGAACGGAACATGCGCAGCGGTGCATGCGCAAACCAAGGCGAATCTCCGCCTCAGCAGAAATCAGCGAAGCGCAGCAAATCACATGGGCATTTCTCTGTGGGCGGTCCGGGAAGCGGTGCGGAGGAGGTGCACCCTGCATTTGCTTCGCCCGTCACATTGGCTCAGATTCGCGCATAGATAAGCGCCTGATAAACTTCCTGCCCCTCACATTTGAACTAGAAAAAACACACCTGCGACTGGGCTAAAGTGCGGCTCCAGAAACCCACCTGCGCAGATCCCTGAAGAGGTATCAGCGAATATTGCTGCGCCTATCCACAACCAAAGAATGACCCAACTAGCCTCCGAGAGAATCGCATAGCGCTACAGTACCTCGATAACATTTCCGTGGTGTGACATTCCCAGCTTACAGGAGTTCAGCGTTTCAGGAGGGATTTGGGGGAATAGACTTGACCTTAGGGCGCGTGTGGTTGGGGTCGACTTTGCCAAAGTTCGATCTTTCACAACGGTTCGAGACGGTAAAATACAGTTTAGTAGCGTGTCGTCACGGTGCAAAGCGATTCGAGTTCGAACTTAGAGATAGTCCGAGTCGTACGTTACAGTTCATCATTCGTTGCTCAGAACGGTTCCATACGATGTAGAACGGTTTTTTCGCTTCACCGTTTTGAAACTAGACAAAACGGATTACACCACGAAGAAGGTACAAAAAACGTACGAGATGGACACCTCCTTACAATAGCGTCCGATGCTCTATAGGGTTAAAAAATACAATACGACAACAGAATGCTATTACTTACAGTATTGGTGCTATTTATGTTGTCACCATGTGGATAGGGACACGAGTACTTTCTAGTACAGCCAAACTGATGCAAACAGCAAAGCATGTCCCACTGCTGTTGAATCATGCAATCCCATACACTCCAGTGCAACTCTCACAGCTGAACAACACATTCGTCGCTGGGGTCCCCCTTACAGCCCAACCCAGTCACTCTTATCACTCTCTGCACAATCCCCCCAATTCCTTGGACCCGGGATTCTGACACCTCATGCCTGCATCTTGCAGCCCAAACTCCACTCCCTCTCGTAGTCCTTTCGGAATAGGATACGGCGAATAGATTGTTCGTTAGGAAGTTTATATAAAGGTCAAATCTTTTGAAGCTTACGCCTTGATCCAAGGTCTGTTTTTACACTACAAGAATGCAGCCTCAATAGATATTTTATATTGCCTGAGGACGAGGGAAACAAAAAAATGTGTGCAGCCTACTACAGGAATGCAGACTCCACAAAGATAAGTGGTAACTTGGGTTGGTTGGTAACCCTTTCAACTTTCATATCCTCTACTCGTCTGATTCGTGCCGGCGGTATGCCTCTCCAAGCCTCCCTACTCCTCGCGGTCTAAGCTTCAACACGTTCATAACCTTGCGTGCCCGCTCCCACAACTCCTTTCCTATTCGTTTCCGCTCCTCTAACCGCTCCTTGACATACGCATACACTGAAGGAGCGGCAAAGGCACAACCGAGTGCAATCACCACATAGAAGCAGATCCACATCACGCTGGTGAATCCTTTGTGGACGTTTGGGTCGTTGGTGGTTTGCTGCACCCAGGGGACCCCACCCACGTTCATGCCAAAGGCTGGTGGGGAGGGAGGGAGAGAGGGGAGGAAGAGGTGAAACCGTGTGTTGATAAATCCCAACCACGGTTGATCTGCTCCGACTGCCACTGGTCCAGCCCCATCTGTAGCGCCGCCACTCTCACATTCACCCCTCCCACTTCGACCATGCCCCTTCTCAGACCCCGTCTGTAGCGCCGCCACTCTCACATTCACCCCTCTCTCTTCGACCATACCCCTTCCCGCAAACCAGACCCCGTCTGTAGCGCCGTCACTCTCACATTCACCCCGTATCCTGCACCAACACGCTCTTACCTCTCACCCTCCTAGGTTGACGTTCAGCCCACGTCTGTAAATATAAGATTGTTTCAACTGTAATAACAGTGGCGTACCTCGGTGATGATAGAGAGTGGCGGGAAGACGATGAAGAGGAAGGAGATGTAGTAGAGCTTCTTGTTGATCTGCTCCGACTGCCACTGGTCCAACCCCGTCTGTAACGCCGTCACTCTCCTATTCACCCCACCCCTTCGACCATACCCTTACTTCAGACCAAACCCTTTCCATGACCAAACACAGCCCACCCCCCCCTGTGATTGAATTCTTACCCTCTGATCTGATCGCTCCTGTGACTGTACCGGGTCGCACTTCCTAAAATTACAACTGCCATACCTCCGGTGATGATAGAAAGCGGTAGGAAGACGATGGAGAGGAAGGAGATGTAGTAAAGCTTTTTGTTGATCTGCTCCGACTGCCACTGGTCCAGCCCCGTCTGTAGCGCCGTTATCCGCGCCGTCAGGAACCCCACGTTCTCCTTGCCTCTCCTCAGCCGAGCCATGGCCCCGTCCAGCACCGCCGAAGCTACAGGTCCGGCGCACCAGTTCCGAGCCACGAGCCTGTCTTTCAGCTTCGGCAGCACGACCTCCCCGTGTGCCAGCGACTGCAGCACTCTCTGCAGGTCTAGATGCAGCTTGGGGAAGGTTCTATCCTTGAGCAGCCGCAGGCGATGGTCTGACCCTGAGAATGTAGACAGATGGGAAAGGGGTGCGGTTGGGTGGGGTGGGGTAGGAATTGTACACAGCGATTCAGCACACAGCGACTGCAGCAGTCTCAGCAGGTCCAGGTGGAGCTTGGGGAAGGTTCTATCCTTGAGTAACCGCAGGCGATGATCAGAGCCTGAGAATGTAGACAGGCGGGAGCAAGAAGGAATCAGGGTAAGAATCACAGAGAGACTCAGTAAGCAGTGACCGCAGCAGCCTCTGCAGGTCCAGGTGCAGCTTGGGGAAGGTTCTGTCTTTGAGCAACCGGAGCCGATAGTCTGAGCCTGGGAGTGGCACACAGAGAGGAAAGGCGGGAGTGAGGGGAAAGGTAGTGTTTGTTTTGAGTCGATTCAAAAGGAGAGAGGAAAGGGGGGAGTGAGGGGAAAGGTAGTGTTTGTTTTGAGTCGATTCAAAAGGAGAGAGGAAAGGGGGGAGTGAGGGGAAAGGTAGTGTTTGTTTTGAGTCGATTCAAAAGGAGAGAGGAAAGGGGGGAGTGAGGGGAAAGGGACTGTGTTTGAGCAGCCACAGGGGATGGTGTGACCCAGGGGAGTGGAACACAGTGGGGAGAGAAGGGAGTGCAACACAGTAGGGAGTAGCGATTGTGACTGAGAGTTGATCAGCAGGGACAGGCACTGCAGCACTCTCTCTGCAGGTCCAGGTGCAGCTTGGGGAAGGTTCTATCCTGGGAGGGTATACAGAGGACGAAGGGAGGCTGTGAGGGTAGGGGTTGTACACAGAGAGTGCAGCCCTCTCTGCAGGTCCAGGTGAAGCTTGAGAAAGGTTCTATCCTTGAGCAACCGCCACATGCATTCCACCTCCACCACCACATCCTCTAGGTAGGTGCTCCATGTTCGTCTCCATGTGCTGCAGCAACCCTCTCATTCATGCATGCAGCGATGGACTGTGCCGTACTGTACCGTACTGTATCATATACTCACCTTCGTCTAAGTCCCTCTCGTGTTGGTCCAGCATGCATTCCACCTCCACATCCTCCAGGTGCTCCATGTGCGTCTCAGCAAGTGTGTGTTTCAGCACTTCCATTCAGTAACTGTAGAGAAGGGCATACACTATCCTACCTTCATCCAGGTCCCTCTCGTGCTGGTCCAGCATACACTCCACCTCCACCACCACATCTTCCAGGTGCTCCATGTGCGTCTCACTGTGTGTGTGCTGCAGCAGCCCTTTCATGTGTGCTGTACCGTACTGTATCCCATACTCACCTTCGTCTAAGTATCTCTCGTGCTGATCCAGCATACATTCCACCTCCACCACCACATCCTCCAGGTGCTCCATGTGCGTCTCAACTATGTGCTGCAGTAGCCCAAACACTGTCACCGGGATCAGACATTCGGCATTCTCGGGATGGCTCTTCCGCAGCAACTCCTCTAGCTCCTGAGGAACACAGGGGGCACGTGAGAGACACAAGGGCAGGCAAAGGGTAAGAGGAGGGCATGCATCACAGCAGCCCAAACACCGTCACTGGGATCAGACATTCGGCGTTCTCTGGGTGGCTCTTCCGCAGCAGCTCCTCTAGCTCCTGGGGTAGAAGAGGCGAGACACGAGGGAGGGAAGGCAAAGAGTAAGAGGAGGGGCATGCTCAAACACAGGCACTCAGTGCTCCCCAAATGCTCCATGTGCGTCTCTACAATGTGCTGCAGCAGCCCTTTCATGTGTGCTGTACCGCACTGTACCGGATTGTACCACCACATCCTCCAGGTGCTCCATGTGCGTCTCAACAATGTGCTGCAGCAGCCCAAACACCGCCACAGGAATCAGACACTCTGCATTCTCTGGATGGCTCGTTCGCAAGAGCTCTTCCAACTCCTGGGGTAGAAGCAGGCAACACATCAGGGAAGGGAACGAGTAAGAGGTGGGGCATGCTAAAACACAGTCAGTCAGAGCTCCCCAGATGCTCCATGTGCGTCTCAACGATGTGTTGCAGCAGCCCAACCACCGCCACTGGTATCAGACACGCCTCGTGGCCTTGGTATAATCAACATTGATGGTCGCCTGCTCCTCCCTGACCTCCCTCCTCCTCGGCGTCATTGCCTTCAAAACCTTCCCCGCGTGCTCTGTCACGCATCCACACGCACTGCCAGATGCATTACCACAATACTGCACCAGGCAATGCCATGCGCACAGGATGGGACAAGCTCACCGCATCATCTACATCGATGGTCGTGTGTTCTTCCGCCTGCTCCTCCCGCACCTCCCTCCTCCTCGGCGTCATTGCCTCCAAAACCTTCCCCACTCGCGCCAAAACCCCCCCACTCCGCTTCCCCCCAGCCCCACCCGCGTCCCCAGATGCACCTCCCCCAGCAGAACCCACCCCAGAAGCGCCTGCACCAGAAAAACCTGCACCCGCCCCCCATCTGAGTCCCCCCCCCCCAGCATCACTAGCATAGCCTCTACTGCCCATTCCGAAGCTTCTGCTGCCTAGCCCCTGCAACAGCCCCCTCCGGTCCAGATTCCCCTCGCTCTTCACCTGACTCACTCCAGCGCCGCAGGCAGGCAGACCCCCCTCTATTGTGCCACAGGGAAGCGAGCCCCCGTCTATTGTCACACACTCTTCTATCTCCGAGTTTGACTGCCTGAGAGAAACAGCTGCAGTATCAATTCTTACTGTTGCTCCTCCTGCTCCACTAGTTCCTGTAGTCCCCATCCCGTCTGCTACTGCTGCTGCTATCGCGGAAGCCTTTAACGAGGATGATCCTGCCCCTACGCTGATTTTGAGAGGTCGGGGTGTTCCGGTCGGGCTGCCAGGCGTGCTGGTTTGCGGCGTGACTGTAGCGCTGGTGCCTTTAACGAGAACAGAAAGCGTGGCGAGGCCTGAATCGCCCTCGTTACTAGCACGATATGACGAATTCGGCGATCGTCTCCTCAAAACAGTAGCTCCGTCTGTCCCTCTGTCTGTGCCGCCAAGGCCACTGCCCAAACCAGCAGCACCAACGGCGGCACCAGCAGCAGCACCAGCGGCAGCGCCAGCAGCAGCACCAGCGGCAGCAACACCACCAGAACCCACACCATTCGCTCCTGCGGCTGAGGCTGCATCGTCACGCAATCTAGCCACCAGCCCCGCCAACCCTAACCCAACCTCCGACCCTAACAGTCCTCCCGGTTCTCTCTGCAGCTCTAGACGCGGCACGGGCCCCAACGCGACGCTTACTATCCCAAACGGCGTGATCCGCGCCGCGATCTTAAACGTGTACGGACTGTCCATAGGCCCGGGGGAGTTAATCCGCACGAAGAGCGCTCCGCCGAGCGTGCCGCAATACGGACCGTTGGATAGAAGCGTCGTGATCTCTTGCAGCTGCAGCGGAGGGTGCAGATGCGTGATGAGCTGGCGAGCCGCGGCGGAAAGCGACGGGCACGACCGCGGGAGCTCCACGTGGAACCACGAGAACTCGCCACCTGGCTGCGTCAGGAGCCCCCCGGCGGCGGCTGTAGCGGCGGGCGTTACAGCCGCGGAAGCGACGCCCGCGGGGTCGGCTACAGCCGCGGAGACGGCGAGGGCGGGGTGGGGGAGATAAAATCCCGTTGCGGCATCCAACGAGCCGGCAGAGTCTGTTCGGCTGGAAATCGGTCTGGGAGGATTTTCCGCGGGCGGCGGCGAGCGCGCTGCGTCTGATTCTCGGGGGGATATCTGAAATTGCACCTGCTGCTGCTGGGGGTGAATCTGCTGTTGCAGCTGAATCGACGTCGTCTGCTGCAGTTGCGACGGGGTATGCTGCCTCCCCAGCATCCGTCCCTTCTCGAATTCCTTCAGACGGTCCCAATCCAACCGCTCAAATGAGCCCAGGCCGTCGAAACGATACGCGGACCGTCGGATTCGCGACCTCTCTCGTTCCTTGGAGGATCGGGAGCGGGAGAACGCGCCGAAGCGCTTCGGGCTGCGAGGCGATGAGGTGGCGAAGAGAGGACGCGTATCGGATCCGCGATCCGACCAATCCATGATTCCGCGCTGGAGATTGAAGTCCGGATGCTGTTGAGATACACGTGTAGTATCGTTTTAAGCCGCGTCGATAGTAGTATCGTTTTAAGCCGCGTCGATAGTGTGTTAAGGGGCAAAAAGAAGGTGACTGTCTCACACGACGACGCGCAGTCACCGCTAGAGAAAGAGACGCGAAGCCGACGAGAAACAACGGAAGCACGCAAACGCGTCTCCTTGTTTACAAGAAAGACTAATGCTCTTTCAATGAAATACTCAACTCCTCCCTATTCTGGCCGATGAATCCAGCCATCTGTCTCCGTAATCCCGCTGTGCTGCTGCATGTCAGCTTCTGATGAAAGAAAAATGGGTCATTTACTCTAGTTCACTGATTCCAGAATAAACACAGGCCTAATCACCAGGGCTACTTTCACTACCTACGACTGCTCCTGACGAGCCTACGAGCCGACGAACGATTGCTGAAATACTGCACTTGAACTAGCAGACCTCGCGTCGCGAGCCACCGACGAAACAAATCGTGGCTTCTCGCACCATTTGCTATGCCTGTAGGTTCCTATCTTCCCGTCCCTGAGTCAATAGTCTCCCTGGTCGATTACTGTAGTCATCGAGCGCTACCTAAATTTGATCCCGCTCAGAAAATCGTTATCGTCAGTCTTCAGTAATCTTCAAGGCTGAGGCACTTGAAGAATCAAGATGGCAATCTCCAGGGTGGAAACTGAAAGGTTTTGATGGACTCGCAACCGCACTGCGTCCCATCCTAGTCCTTTTAAACCTTACAGAGCCGCGTCGAACTCCGTGGAATCCGCGATTCGGTAGATTCCACTTCTATCGCCTCCGTGTTTCTCGTCCCCTGGATGATGCCGTCTGGTTGCTTCTCCTCTTCTGACGAGACGAGCCCTTTCCCGCCAATTCTCAACCAATCGGACGCGTCATCGATGTTTCTTCAAAAATGTAGAGTGGAAAGAAACTGTTACTCGCTAATTAAGGCGGCGTTACCAGCATAAGTTAGACCTTCTGTAGACAACGGAGGGCACCTACCGTATTACGAATGGTAAATAAATATATGCAAAAATAACTATCAGAAGTTTACTACGAGGTCAATAGAAACCTGCCAGCTAGAAAGATTCCATTAGGTGAAATATCTAACCTAGTGAGGAACGTCCCAGGCCCTAAATCGATCTCCTCTACCTCTTCCACACAAGAGCTAGCCCCTACCGTGTCATCTCCCCTATCGCTTTCTCGCTTCCCCTTATGCCCTTTATCCCTGCTTTGACCCCCACGCCGACCATTTCCGCCTCTACCCTTCCCTTGCTTCTTACCTATATCGTCCCTCGCACATGCAACCAGGCACTCACTACCGAATTTGCTTACAGAGAGTCGCCGGCCATCCTCACTAACTGCAAGGCGCACAGCGACAGGCAAAGGACCCCTATATGACTCCTCTTCTGCCATATCTCCTATACCGCCCTCCTCTATAGTCACATCCGCACGAGCCCCTCGTCCGGATAAACTCCCTTCCGGAAGAAGTGCATCCGATCTTAATGATAACACTTTATTTGACTGTAGAGACGTGAGTGTACTGTTATCGGAAGTTTCAGCATCCAGTGCTACGCCGGCCGGAGTTCCCAAGGCTTCCCGTGATGCAGCACCCAGCAACCGCTTGGACAGGGACAGCCAACCACCCCCAGGGCCAGAAACACCCTGCCCTTCTCCGCTCAGCTGCTGCTGTCGCTGTCCGTGCTGCTGCTGCTCCCTCCTCTTCCTCTGACCTGGAAGCCGGAGGGTTTCTCTGGACCAGAACTCGCGAGGAGGTACAAGGGAGATGGGGGGTGTTGAGGGGGAAGTAGGGGTGTCAAGGACTTGCGAGACCAGTCCCTGCCCTTGCTGCTCCTGCCTTTGTTGCTGCTGTGCCTGATGCTCTGTTGAACCTGCCCCATGCTGCTGCTGCTGCTGCTGCTGCTGTCTGTGTCGTCTCCCAAGGCCCAGGCTTGGTGAGGAGGGGAAGAGCACCGAGTTAGCAAAGAAAGGCGTGCCAGGGGCCCTCCAGGAGTAGGGGGATAGTGCTGCTGGTGTCGCAGCAGCAGCAGGAGATTCAGCAGAGGTTGGCAGAGTGTGGTTGTGAGCGGTGGGAAGGTTTGCCGCTGGGTTGTTGGGGTGGGGGATGCGGAGGGGACGGAGGCGACGGGCTAGAGAGGTAGAGAGGCGAGAGGAGCGGGGAGAGGGAGGAGGGGAGGAGGAGGGAGAGGAGGAGAGGGAGGGTGAGTGAGGAAGCGAGGGTGAGGGAAGGTTAGAGGATGGTGTAGTGGTATCCGAGGTTTGAGGGGAGGAGTGAGAAGGGAACAGAAAGGACGGCTTCAGGAGCTGCAGCCGCCCGACAGTATCCAGCACTGGCTGAGGGAATCTGATCTGGGCGGCAGAGAATCTCAACAGTGACAGTGGGTTGGGCGGCAGGAGGGGAATGGGGAGGGGAGGGAGGTCTAGGGAGGGCTGGGAGGAGGAAGTGGGGGAGGAGGTGAAAGGGGAGGAATAGCGGACGGATAGGCGGGGGGAGGAGAATTGGGGGGAGTAGTAGGGGGAGTGGTGGTGGGGGGAGGAGTGGGGGGGACTAAGGCGAGCTGTGGGGGTGAATCGGGGGGTGAATCGGGGAGAGGGGGTGAATCGCGGAGAAGGGGTGAAGCGGGGGGAACCGCGAGTGTGGGGAGAATTGAGGGTGTGTGCATACGAGGTTCGAAGGGGGTTAAGAACGCTATGCTTTGGAGAGGAGGAAAGGGTGGTGGAGTGTGGAGGGTTGGGGGGAGATGACGAGGACGAGGAGGGATGGTACGGCGAAAGGGTAGATTGGCTGTTGGAACTGTTGGGCGGCAGACTGGAGATCAGATTTTGTTTTTGTTCTTGATTTTGGCTGAATCTCGGATCCTGATTGGCTGCTACGAACTCCAAGAATCCGTCACCAAGTGACACGTGGAGGGCTGGGATTGGCTGGCGGTCGTCCAATGAGAAGACAGAGCGGAGGAGAGGGAAGAGGAGAGGGCTCCTTAGGCTGCAGGGGGGACGGGGGGAAGAGGGGGAGGGAGGGGGAGGGGGGGAAAGAGGGGAGGGGGATGGGGAAAAGGTGAGCGAAGGGGAGAGGGGGGAAGATGGAGTGAGGTGAGGGCGTGAGAGTCGGGGGAGAGAGAAGAGGAGAGCTCTTGAGATGGCAAGCGGGGAGGGGAAGGAGAAAGGGGGGAGGGGGTTGTGGAAAGGAGGAAAAAGGGGAGGAAGGGGTAGAGAAAGGGGAGAGATGGGGGTGAAGAGGGATGGAGGGGGGGAGAGGGGGGGAGCGAGAGAGTATGGAACAAGATGGGGGAGTGGGCTTGAGAATTTGGGGAATGGGGGAAATGAGAAGCACAAGTGGCTTGACGGGCCAGGATTGGCTGGTAGCCGACCAATGGAAAGAAAGCTAGATTGGAGGGGCGGGAAGAGAAGAAAAGAGGGCTCCTGAGATTGGTAGGGCAAGGCTGGGGAAGGGCATGGGGAAGATACCGGGAAAGTGCAACAAAGTGGACATGCGCGTGTACTTTTTATGTCCTGCAACTGTGAAACCTGCTTTTGTTTGATGCGCCTTGAAAATCGTCAACTGTGTTTGATGCTGCGAAACCTGCATTTGTTTTTTGAGGCGCCTTTAAAAACATATTTTTATATCCTACAACAGATGCTGTGAAAGCTGTGTTTGTTAATTCCAGACAGGTTCCGCTCTGTATTTGCTTTGCTTTTTAGTTACTTTGTTAAAGTGGTCAGAGCTCACCGAGGGCTATGGGCTAGGTCTCATGGAATTAAGATCTGATTTGGCACTTCGAATGGCCCGCCATCCGATAACTTCAAGACACCGACTCACCTCCTGTTGAACATTGAAAGGACTCACCTCCTATTGAGGCCTAGCCCATACTGACTCACCTCCTGTTGAAATCTTCGGGGCTCATGGATAGAAAGGCGCGCACCGGAAAGTGCGAGTCGGTGAAACTGAAGGGGGAAGGGAAAGGGGGGATTAGAGGGGAGGAAATAGGGGGGAGTGAGGAGGAGGAGAAATTCAAGAGGAGAGGGCGGTTGCAGGGCAGGAGGGTAAGGGGAGGAGGGTATGGGGAGGAGGGTAAGGGGAGGAGGGTAAAGGGAGGAGGGTAAGGGGAGGAGGGTATGGGGAGGAGGGTAAGGGGAGGAGGGTATGGGGAGGGAATGGGGAGGGAATGGGGAGGGAATGGGGAGGGAATGGGGAGGGAATGGGGAGGGAATGGGGAGGGAATGGGGAGGGAATGGGGAGGGAATGGGGAGGGAATGGGGAGGGAATGGGGAGGGAATGGGGAGGGAATGGGGAGGAAGAATCGGCCAGGGGAGTGAGGTGAGGAGAGAAAAGCGCACAATGGAGGGGAGGAAGGAAAGGGTAAGGAAGGGAGGCGGTATCGGGGCGCACAATGAAAAGCACACAAGAAGCGCACAACGGAGAATATCTGAAACTGACATGAGGGGAGGAGAGAAAGGGTTCGGAAGGGAGGCGGTATGCGGAGTGAGGATGGGGAGGGAGAGGAGGGAAGGGGAGTGGAGTAGTATAGGGCAGGAGCAGGGAGGCAATGAGAGGGGAGGGTAGGGAATTGGAGGTTAGGGGAGTTTATGGGAGAATGGAGGGGAGGGGGGAGAGAGTAGGAGAGGGGAGGGGAGGGGAGAGGAGGGGAGGGGAAGGGAGTGCAGGGAGGGCAGGGAGGGAAGGGAGGGAAGGGAGGGAAGGGAGGGGGAAGGGAGGGGAGGGAGGGGGAAGGGTGGGGGAAGGGAGGGAAGGGGGGGAAGGGAGGGAAGGGAGGGAAGGGAGGGAAGGGAGGGGAAGAGAGGGACGGGGGGGAAGGGAGGGAAGGGAGGGACGGGAGGGACGGGAGGGAAGGGAGGGACGGGAGGGAAGGGAGGGCATGAGGGAGGGCATGAGGGAGGGCATGAGGGAGGGCATGAGGGAGGGCATGAGGGAGGGCATGAGGGAGGGCATGAGGGAGGGCATGAGGGACGAGGGGAAGGGAAGGGAGGAAGCAGCTAAGGGTGCATCGGCATTGGAGAAACCCTTATACACTGGTGACAGCCGTTTGTGTGTGTGTGTGCGTGCGAGTGTGTGTGTGTGTGTGTGTGTGTGTGTGTGTGTGTGTGTGTGTGTGTGCGCGCGCGCGCGCGTGTGTGTGTGTGTGTGTGCGTGCGTATGTGAGTGTGTATGAGTGAGTGAGTCACTCACTCTCCCTCACCTGGGAGTGAGTCCCCAATTTTTGCCAAAGCGGACAGAAGAAGCAGCCATATCCACGTCAGAAACGGACAAACCCTTGTACTCTGCCGCCCGGGCCGACACCGACACGCCGGCCAGCCGGCCGGATAGCAGGTCTTGTCCTGTAGCGGCCACCTTGATCCTCAGATCGCCACACGAGTCAAGCTGAAGGGCGGGAAAACAAAAGTGGCGGGAAAACAAAAGGAGCAGGAAATCGAGAAAGCTGGTTGGCATCAAGCCAAGTTTGCAGGATACATAGCATCAAGCCATGAGGATAGTTAGTTAGTTTTGTTTTATTGTTTGTTTGTTTGTTTGCTTTTTCAGTCCTTTGGCATTTCAGTGGTGATGGAGGTGCGGTGCATTGCGAGGGATTGCGATTAGGAGGAGGGGAGGCGAGGAGATGGGAAAGAAGGAAAGAAGATGAAAGGAGGAGGTCAGAGGAGAGGAGAGGAAGGGAACGGAGAGGAGGTCACTAAAATCCATCCTGGAACGTAGCTAAAAATTCACCTGAAAATCCACCTGAGGGCTAGGGGGCTGACCTGGGACCGTAGAAAAGAGTGAACGGCCTGAGTCAGCAAGGCCGACACCAACCCGGAAGCTTCTTCCTCTCCTTCCTCCTGAAGCGCATCAGTAGCTGCTGCTGCCGCCACGCCACCACCACTACTCTTGCTGCTGCTGCCGTTTCTGCTGCCGCTTTTGCAGTTGTTGCCGCTGCTGCTAGTGCCCCTGCTGTTGCCGTTACTGCTGCTGCTGCCGCCGCTGCTGGTTCTGTTGAGACCTCCTGAGGCCGCCCTGCCGCCCACCTGCGCTCCGAACTGCTCCTCCGCGATTTGCAGCGCCGCCCAGGGGTCAAGCAGGGAGCGGGGGGGTAACAAAATTAATGTTTTTCCGTACATGTATATTGAATTAGCTGGTATGTAATGGCGTTAATTACGTGTCATTAAATATACATGTAACGTAGGATATATCCTTAATAGCGGTAGGGGTAACTCCCTCTAACACTCGGGTATATTTTTCGTGTTTCGGATTACCCTTTCCAAGTAACGCACGTCCCACTAGGGTTTGCTGATTTGACCCGCGAAGCGTCCGCCACCTGCGCCAACATTACAAATGATTTAGCATTACAATTCGTTCAAAAAGAGTTCGTGCGAAGCAAACAATTGCGTAGAAATTGGACAAAATGCAATCATTGCACTGAGTGACGTCAGAAAATGCAGCATCGAGAGCCAACCATTCCGATTCCAATTTGCGTAGCCCTAAATTGCATCTATTTCGGACCTTTTGTGCCAATTTGAATCGAATCTTGAAAAGCGTGTGAAGTTACGAGTCACATTGTTTAACCTGAGAAACGTGTACGCAACCTGGCATGCACCTGAATAGCGTTCCTAGGCTAAGTTGCATGCACCTGAAAATGGCCGGTGGGGTGGTTGTGAGGTCGAGCAATGCACGTCTGTGCTGACTGGTAGGGCCGACGGACGGATGGAAGTCCAGAGAGTTCCTTCAGGTGAATGTGACCCGTTAGATCATCATCAAAAGCACATTTGATCACCGAGAGTGTTTTGCGTTTTGCAAAACATCCGCGCTTTGAGATGGGCAGCCTGACAGAATCATCCGAAACGCTTGCGACAGGCTGAATTGATTGGCGGCTGACAGGAGACGTGGGCTGGTTCTGATGAAGTGGACTGCCAGCAGGCGATGAGCCAATCAACTGAAAGGAATCGTCGAAACGGGTTACGGGGCCAATCGTGCGGCACAACTGGGACGAAATCTCGATAGCTCGACGTACCCGCTATGTGCTCACTGATCACGTCAACGCAATACCTTACAAGTGATGAAGGCGAACCACATAGCCTCACCACTTAAACAAGTCAATATGAATGAACACACAAGAGCACTGCCATTTCAGCCCCGCTTCCTCTTCCCCTGGCGACGGCCTCCTTTACCCTTCTTTCCTTTTGAAACATTCTCACTATTCTCTACATTTGATTTTGTACTGTCATTACCCCTGGCATTCTCGGCTCCACCTGTCGTGCTAGCCGCCGCAACTGTCTTCACGGCCAATCGTGGCTTTGTGTCGAGCATCGAGCGCGGAAGAATGGAGACGGCACAGAAAGGAGGGCCTCGTGCGAGGGGAACAATCTCAACCACGACTGCAAACTGTGGGTAAAAAAAAAAAAAAAAAAAAAAAAAAAAAAAAAAAGACAGCAACAAGAACAAGTGAAAGATAGGAACACTTTGGTGGTTGGTGAGTTGTGGGTCCCAGCCCAGTTAAGGAGCGGGAAACGTGTAAACATGGCAGACAAGGAAGCATAAATATGCTTTGAGAATGAGACCAGAGCCTCAGAAACGGAGAGCCCCAGAAAAGGGCACTTAACTACTCAAGACACTCGACAGTTGGGCAAAGTAATCAACACTCCATCTATGACTGTATACATCTTACCTCTGGGTTAGTCAAGTTAGCCGCAGCACCTCGCTCCCCAGAAGCTTCCTTCACCGCATCAGCCACTGTCCTGATAACAACATCACGACTCAACTCAACATCCTCCTCCCCTTCCCCCCTCTCCTCCTCCTCCTCTCCCTCATTTCCCTCTCTCTGTCTCTCTGCCTTATCCTTTTCTTTCTTGGCAGTTTCTTTGGCTGCAGCGCCTGAATCCTCTGCTCCTCGTTTCTTGAAAGCCACTGCGAACTGGCGAGGGAAGGGAGGGGGGAAGGGACAAGCGCGGTGAGCTGCTTTTCCTTGTTCCTTGCTGCTTCTCTCCCCACCTGCAGCGCCTGGATCCTCTGCTCCTCGCCTCTTGAAAGCCACTGCAAACTGGGGAGACAAAGAATCTACTGTGTGAGCCCACTCTGACAGTTGAAGGGTAACTCTGACACAGTCTTTGGAGCTCTTTGACAGAGTTACCCTTCAACTGTCAAGAGTAGGCTCACACAGCAAAATCTTTGTTTCAGTTAAGTCGGCGAAATTTAATGGGCAAATCAACGGAGTTACCATTCCGCGTAAGAACTTTGTAAAAGGTTGTCATTCATGTCTGAAACAATACCTGCACAGGAGGTAGAAGCTGCTGTGCTGCTGCTGGGGGTTCTGCTGCTTCTAGGGGTTCTGCTTCTGCCTCAGAACCATTCAAGCGTGGGTCCTCCACTCCCACTTCTGCTTCGCCTGCTGCTGCTGTTGTTGCTGCTGTTGTTGCTGCTGCTGCTGCTGCTGCCGGTGGTGGTGGTGACGCTCCTGCTGGTGCTGCTGGTGAGTCTGCTGCGAAGTGATTGGCCAGCAGTCGCTGCACGGTGGCTGACAGGTGGCGCTTCGTGGTTGGGCACGTGGCCTGCACAGGGCAGATGCGCTGGCACCACCTGATTGGAGCAACAAAGAAGGAGAGGGGAGGGGGGGAGGGGGGGTTAGTAGTGGGGACAGACAATTCAGAGAAAAGCAAGAAAGTGGGCGGCAAAGGCAGATAGACACGTGGCTTGCACAGGGAAGATGCGCTGGCACCACCTGATTGGAGGACAGACGGGGGGTTGGGGTGGAGAGTGGGTGTGGGGCGGGTGAGCGACTGTGTGACGGGTAGATGAGAGGGTAGGAAGAGAACAGTGGGAAGAAGGGAGTGAGGGAGATGGAAGGAGTGAGAGAGGGAAATTAGCACTGGTAAATGAATGGGGTCGCGACAATATTGAAGGAGAAACAGCAAGAGATGAAGGAGGGGGACGGAGGGAGTTAGAGAGGGTGAAAAACGGGAGATCAAGGAGGGAAAGAGGGAGAAGAGAATGAAGGAAGGTAGGCAGGGAGGGAGGGAGGGATTGAGGGAGGGAGGTAGGGAGGGAGGGGGGAAGGGAGGGATTGAGGGAGGGAGGTAGGTAGGTAGGTAGGTAGGTAGGTAGGTAGGGAGGGAGGGAGGGAGGGAGGGAGGGAGGGAGGGAGGGAGGGAGGGAGGGAGGGAGGGAGGGAGGGAAAAGGCAGGGGAGGCAGGGGACGAACGGGGTGGAGTGCGGTAGGGTGCGGTGGAGTGCGGTGGAGTGCGGTGGAGTGCGGTGGAGTGCGGTGGAGTGGAGTGCAGTGGTTGCAACACTCACTTGAGGCCGCTCCTCTTCTTCTCGTTGATGTCCTTCAGAATCTGCCCGACAACATCCACAGGGCACGGCACCTCGTTGCCCGGCACACATTTTTCCTTCTCGGGCAGCGCCAGAAAAGTTATCCCCATGCTACCCAGCTTGATCGCCCCTAGCCCGGCTTTAAGAGCATCTTCCGCTGCACTCGCATCCTGCTCTGCCTTGCTAACCTTCACTGCCTTATCCTCCCCTGCCTTAGTGACTTTCTTTTCGCAGTCCTCTTCCTCTGCCTGACATGGTGCCTTATCCTCCTTCTCCTTTGCACCATCCTCCTCCTCTCCCACTCTGCTCCCCTCTGGATTACCTCTCTCCCTCGTTCCCCCCTCCCCTTTCCCCTCCTCCCCCTCCTCTATCCTCTTCTCTTCCCCCTCCTCTTTCCCATCCTCTCCCCCCTCCTCTCCTCTCTCCTCTAACTCCTCTCCCTTCTCTACTCTCTGCCGCTTGGCCGCAGCACTCCCGTCAAGCCCCACAACCGAATCACCTCCCCTTTTCCCCTCCTCCACTGGCCCTGGTTCGTCCCCTTCAGTCACACTCGCACACACCGCAGGGAGATACTGGCACGGGGGAGATGGGAGGGTAGGTCGAAGGGAATAGCAGGGGAGGGACAGCGAGGGGGAGAAAGGAAAGGGAAACTCTTCAGTCACAGTCACACTCGCACGCACTGCAGGCAGATACTGGCACGGGGGAGAGGGGAGGAGGGGGAAATACGGAGTGAATGGACGGATGTTGTAGTTGAGTCAAGCATCACTCTTGCACAATCACACTCGCATACAGTGGGAGGGAAGCTGGGGAGAAGTGGCAGAAGGAGCAGCGGGTGAGGCAAGATACCGGCCTGAATATCTGAAAGATCGTATTTCCAGCAGAAGCGAGCACAAAAGAGCGCGAGAGAGGAATTGTGGAAGGGAGGACGTAAGGGGAAAGAGGGGGTAGCAGCCAAGACAAAGGGAATTGAAAGAGGTAGCAGAGGGTGGAGCCACAGAGGCGATACACCACAAATTTGAGCGGCCTTTCAGAGCAGAACAACTCAACAAATCAGTCAAGAATGTTTAAGAATCTAAACAGCAGATGCAGTGCAGCAATTATACCGTTCAGGAACCCTTGAAAAAGAATACCTTAGGGAGGATAGAAAGTGCTTCTGACGTGGCGCTCTTCTCTCGGCCTGAACACACGCCCAGCACACGCCAGGCATGCACCAAATACACGCCCGCCGTACAACAGACAGACGTCAGGCATGCGACGGACACACGCCAGGCATGCATACATCAAGCCCATGAGCATGGACAGCAAGAGCATACTCCATACAAGAAACGCTGGATTCGCATCAGTGCCGTACACGCTTGAGATCGACGCAAGCATGCAATAAAGAAAGGCAGACGATATAGCTTGCGAGGATTCTTTGGATATGTCAAAAAATAACTTTTTAGGCGATCATGGCTTCTAAGGGATAGGGCGAGCACGTACGGAAGGCACACGTGATCAGAAACCCTTGAATTCCGCCGCCATTTCCGGATCGCAGCAGCTCCTCCCGCCGGTAATCAAATCGCGCCATCTTCAGCACTCCCGCGTGTCGATCCCATGGCGCCACCTCCCAATCGCTCTTGACCGTTGGATCCTGACAGACTTCCTCCGCCGCTTTCGACGCGGAATCCTCCGCGGCAGCTGGCGCAGCAGATGCCATGGAGTTCGCTTGCTGATTCCGAAAGGGCGCCGGCTTTGGAAACTCAAGGATGGCTGCGCGGTGCGAGAAATGAAGGACTAGTGGGAAGTGGAGGGAAGGCCCGGAAGGGTATGGAAGGGTATGTGGTGACGGCGGCAATCTCAAGGGAAAAAAAAGGCTCATTCGCGATTGTAGGTGTTCCTAAATATGCAACCCTGTATCTGAACCGATATAAGTATCCTTCACAAATATTTGACGAAACCAAACGCATTGTTCTCGATGATCGAAGAACAAAGTTTCAACTGAACGTGCAACAATAACACTCTACCAAATCAGATAGAAGTTTTGATGCTACGTTACTCCTTTTTCAACGAGATACAGCTAGGAGCTAGGTTGACGCAACCTACTACCGGTAACCTCCTATTCCCCGAAGTTAATACCATCAAGAACAGAGTTCGGACTACACCCCAAAACACCATCCTCCATAGCTTGATCCACTGACCCATCCTTGGTCAATAACGATAGGCGAGATGCACCACCAACACCACCCTCATTCTTCATGCAATGTGCCACATGAACCGGGGAAGACGGAGCAGAAAATATCATAAACCTGCCCCTGCGCTTTGACTGGCTGGCCTTCACCTCGGTCAACGAGCACTGACCTGGGAATGCACCAGGGGCTGAGAAGGAAACACCTGAAGGGTCTGAAAGGAAAGCTACAGGGTTTGATGGTGACTGTAAAGGTGTTGGTGACTGTAAAGGTGTTGACGAGGAAGGTGGTGCCATTCTTGTGCAATTGCTGCTACTACTGCTTCTGCTGCTGCTACTGCTGCTGCTGCCTTCCCTGCTGAAGCTGGTGGTTTCTCTAATTCCATTGCCTTCTCTGCTGCTGCCTCCTCTGCTGCTGCCTTCTCTGCTGCTTCCTTCTCTTCTATTGGCACCATCAAGGTTACTGACAGTGCTGCAGCTGGAGGTTGCTTGTGCAGCTGCCCCCTTGCTGTGTTGCTGCTGCTGCTGCTGCTGCTGCTGTTGCTGCTGCTGCTGGTTGTCGTGGTGGTGCGGCTGGTGGTGGCGGTGTTGCTGTTGCTCTTGATGCTGATGCTGGTGAGGGTGCTTCTCGTGCTGATGCTGCTGTTGTTGCTTGTCAGAATGCTGCTGCAGCTGGTGATGTTGCTGGTGCTGATGATGGAGATGGTGCAGGTGCTGATGGTGATGGCGACGGTGGTGATGCTGCTGATGCTCTTTCTGATTCGCCTGCCCCTGCTCCCGGTGCTGCCTCTGGTATAAAGGCTGCAGCATCTGTTGCTGCTGATGCTGATGCTGATGCTGCTTATTCAGGCATTCCCCGTCCACCTGTTTAAACCATGGATGATGCACGATACGGCTCGATCCAATCCGTCGGTTGGGATCCACATCCAGCATCCGACGGATGAGATCCTTCGCCTCGAGCGAGATCAACGGCCAGTGACTGCCCGTCTCCAAATCCACCTCTCCCCTGCAAACCGCAGCAAACACCGCATTCTGGTTTTTACCGAAAAACGGTAGTGTACCAGAAAGGCAAGTGTACATTATCACACCTAAACTCCACACGTCCACCTCAGGTCCATACTCCCTCCCTCTGACAGTCTCAGGGGCCATGTAGAATGGGCTCCCCACCAACCCATGCAGCCTGCATCCTCGTTTTAAGACTCTCGCCAACCCGAAATCAGCGATTTTGACTGTAAGACAACTTGCTGATAATGAGGCTGCTGATAACGGGGATGGGGACAGGTCTGCAGGTGAAGTTCTTTCAGAGTTTACGCTGGAGCAGTGCATAGTGGAGAGGTTGCTGTCGGGGTAACGGGATGTGCTTGTAAGGAGGATGTTCTCGGGCTTCAAATCGCGGTGCACCACTCCCATCTCGTGCATTGTTGCGACAGCTGTTGCGAGTTGCCTGCAAGAATGGGCATGGGGGGATGCAGGAGAAGGGAAGGGATGCCAGGGAGGGGGGCAGAGGGAGAGGAAGGGGGGAAGAAAAACAAGGGGAAGGAGAGGGAAGTAGGAGCAAGGGACCAAAGCCCATGACTTGGGGGTTTTGAGGAGGAGGAGGGGGGGGAGAGGGGAAGGAGGAAAAGGGAAAGGAGGAGAGAGGGAATTTGGGAAGCGCTGTGGAGGAAAAAGATACACTGAACTGATAGTAGGAAACTTATCTTTAAAGGTTACCGACACACCTCATTATGGCGGCAGTTTGTCGTTCGTCGAGCCTCTCATGTCGCGCCACGTGTTCAAACAAATCTCCCCCCTCACAGTGCTCCAACACCATGTGCACCGCAGATTCGTCCTCGAAAACATCCACCAATCGCACAAACCCATTTTCATGCCCATTTCTGCATGGATCATTTTTGTCTACTTTGTTATATATGTTTTTCACATTTGTACACCCAGCCTCGCAATCATCCGGGTCGTGATTGTCGTGATGGGTGGTCCTCGAATCCGTTTCAGTCACGTCCGTTATCCGCACAAACTTCAAACACCGAGCTGCTGACACACCCCGTCCATAAACCCCCCCTTGCTGCTCCCCATGCCCCGCCAAACCATTCCGCCGCTCCCCCCTTCCCTCGCGCGTTGCTTCCCCCGCTCCTTCCCCGCGCGCAGTAACGTCCCAGACTTCGCTGCGCGCTGTTTCCGCCTCCTTTTTCCCCGCATGTTTTGCTTCATCTCCTTCCCCGCGTACTGCTTGCGCCTGCTTTTTCCTCTGCGCTGCTTGCAACAGCAGCGGAATCAGCACCTCCGCGCGTAACTCGCGCATGGCCTCGGGAGTCTGTTGAGCGGGACGTACGGAGCGGAAAACAGCGGAGCGGAGGGGTAGAAGGTAATAGAACGAAATGGAGGAAGTAAAGAAAATTAGGAAAGATAATCAAAGTTAAAAAAGGCCCGCAAGCGCGAGATTGGCTGTCTGCACCAATCATCTCGTACACCAAATGAAACGAGAAGGTAATATGGACCGAAACGCACAGCTACTTGCGACTTGAGAACCGTCTTGCATGCGAACTGCTCCCCTGTTCGCCTGTCTTCGCAGAGCCGCACCACTCCGAAATGGCCTCGCCCCAGCTCCTTTCCGAGCCTAAACCGAGCCTCCAGGCTCGGCTGTCCCTGTTCCCGATCCCGCCAGTCATCCCGCCCGCAGACTCCACTTCCGCAACCTCCGCCACCCTTTCCGACGCATACGGTGAGGGAGCCGACACCGCCATCCACGCAGTCAATGTCGCTGCATTCGACTCCGCCAGCCCGACATTGGCGGCGTGCTTCCCGGAGTAGATCGTACACGTGGCAGCGTATGGCGGTTCCATCATCCCCGGCTGGCTCCACGGGCAGGGAGCGAGCGGCTTGAGCGCTGACGTGGATGATGTCCTCGAGCACGTGGAATGATGTATCCTGCTGACCTGGCTGTACGGTTTTCCTGAGCTCGCTTTTGTCACAGTCGTTTTGATCACTCGAAGGTACCTCGCCCACGGCCTGACAGTCTCCCCGGCGGCTGCTCCCTCGACTGGGTTGACCAGGTTGACCGCATTGACCGGTTCCAGCGGGTTGACCAGATTGATCGCATTGGCTGGTTCCAGTGGGTTGACTTGGTTGACTGGTCGAGCCGGCTCGCCGCCTGTCTGCCGTGGTGTCAGGCGCAGCCATTTCATATCGCGGCGGCGCAAAGAGACATCAACGAAGGATCGGCATCACACATGCCGCATTCACTGAAATTGCGGCGCGAGATGTCACTTCGGTTGAATCCAGAAAAGATAACTAGTCCGGAGATTTGCGCGAGTGATGCGACGCAGCAGTCGCGCGAGTGGATGTCTACGATGCTGAGAGATGCGACTTCTGAGAATTCTCAAGAGAGATGCGCTGCGAGGAAAGCCATGGATGGAAAGGCCTCTCTGCCAGCGAGAAGCATAGGAAAAACATGGCTGACAAGGGGACTGCTTTTTTCACGGGAAGGTAATGCGTAATCCGGGCCTAGTCTGGTTCTTATGGTGAAACCGTCTCCTGCGAATCGAGCTTCGCCCCGAAATCCTATCAGTTGGAGTGGTGCAGTGCGGACTTAGACTACCCCGCTTAAACTAACAGATATCATGTACAGGTCTAAGTGGACCCGCCAGGCTGTAAAAAAATGGCCCGTCTTCTGTCAATGTGACGGAGACTGTAATTACTAGTGTAAGGCTGCTGACTTGCTCCTGGCGAAGTCCGAGGCTATTAAAACAGCCGACTGACCCTGCGAGTGGGGTTATTGTGTTGTGGCGTCAGTACTGCGTGCTATTGCGCTTGCAGATGGGCGGTGGTAGTAAGGTTGAGGGAAAAATGGCTGGACATCGCACTCTAGAGGAAGAAAGGCGGCCGTCTTTTCCAGGCCGTCGATGTTGAGTCGGAGACGTCCAGTTCGTGCGATGTGTGTGTCTAATACTTCTACGAGTCGCACGACGGCGTAATACGACACTGTTCGCGTGTCGGCCGGAAGTCAGTGGACCGTCGTCCTTATCACCCACCCTTATAATCGCTACGCAATGAACATTTATTGTTTCGGAAGGTGGTTGTGCGAAAGACGAGAGTACAAGAGACGAGACATGAGGCTGCAAGCAAAACCAAAGCGAAAACGAGACTTGTGTGAGGTTCTCTTGGGTGGTTTGGGTGGGGGACCAGCCAGAAGGTTCGGTTTTGCTTCCTGTTGATTGCCAAGCTCCCTTGGCTGAGATGTGTGGCGCGGTGCGCGAAGGGGTAACGGATGCTGAACCTGAATCGTTTCACCTCGGCGCAGTGCGTTCTTGTACAAGTATGTGCGGTTTTGTGCCTTCATTTCCTTACCCAGGCAAACGAGCCTCCAAGCTGATGAAATTTAGTGAGCGGGTGGACAAATCCCGCCCTGCATTTCGAGAAATTTGTCCAGCACGCAGAGCACCAGCAAGTGGAGGGCGACACAAACGAGAACGCGATTCGCAATTTGCGCCTCGAGTTACTAGCGCCAAACTTCGTTTGTTCCAATCTCACTTTGCCACGTGTTCTGATGTGCCAAGACCAGTGGGATGTGACAAACACGAACATTGCAAACATCTCAGTGCCCTTTAGATGTCTTGGGTGCACCTTTATAAGTCACCGAACAAAAAAGCGTCATTACGGTACATATAAATAACTATCCCAGCAGAACTTGGCAGTGCCTTTTGAGTACATCTCCCAATGAGAAGCCGAGCCATCCCACAACACAAATCTCGCAATGACAATGGGACCGCCATGGATGTTACCGTCAACCTTTAGGAGCTCGGTTCGTGAAGGATACTTGTCAATTGGTAACTTAGAGGGCAGATTCGTGATCGCCTTACCGTTACGAAGCTGTAGGTACACTTTTTATGTCCATCAGGCGGACATTGTGCCTTACGCTAAAAGGGATCTGCTTTTTATCCAAGCTACTAATTTGAATGTTTCGCGACAAGCTGAGGGAACTGGCGCTACGTCAATGGCAATGTCATATTTGCCAGTTCTAGATTGTCTACAAGGTTCCGCGCTAGCATTCGCATCAGCGGCCTCATTGTTTACATTATTGCAGCATGATAAGGCAAACAACGCAACACCAAGGCTGACAAGATATCGAGGGTACAATTTCAAGAGGCATAAAGACCGGGCTAGCTGCGTTATTGTGCTCATACGTTGGCTTCCTTTCCGCAAAGGGTCACTATTTCAGCCTTGTCATCATCGCACCATGTCAAGGATGAATACCAGGAACGGCGGAATCCGCAACGCTGAAGGGTCTGCTGTTGTTAGCCAGGAGAAGTCAGCAATGACTGCTCCGTCAACTAAAGCCTCTGCTACATCGGCGCTCAAGCGTACTGTAGATTTGTTCACGGAGGAAGACAAGGAGGCGATCCAGCCTGGTAAAGGTGGGAAGGACGCTGCACGCGACTTGGTGACTGCTGCGACAAACGGCGTCAAGCCTCCGCCGCCTGATGCTCCCGGAAAGGTTGACCCTGCAGCTAGAGGGAGCAACACAGCGAGTCAGCAGGAGAAGCAAGATGCGGTTAACCGCATGGCTACAACGGATGATGAAGAAGAGGACGACAGCTACTTAAGCGACGACCCAGTAGAGCGGCAAGATGTGATGGCGAAGGGGGAGGCTGCTCAGCGGATTCGCTTTGCCACCACCCTTCTGATACCGGTGGCTTTTAAGCCGGAAGTGACGCGGGTGACGGCGACGTTGTGTGCGCTATTCACTATCTGGAAGAAGGACTTGGGGATGGAGGTTCAGTCGACTACCAAGTTCCAAGAGCTGCAGGACAAGAACAAGAAGCAGTATTGTCGGCTTCAAGTGACCTTTGAGCGCGCTCGCGATGCAAACTTCGTTTGGAGGCATGGTATTGTTCACACCTGCCTTGACGGGAAGACCCGGATCAACTTGGACTGGCAGCACCCAGTGGACCCGGCGTATGTCAAGGCGCATGCTGTGGACCCGTCGCTCGTGGAGGTCCTGTTTAAGGGGGTGGATGCGATGATTACGCCGGAAATGCTTCGTGAGATGCTGGTGGTGGTGAAGTTGGTGGTGCGCGGGAGGTTCGCTTTCAAGAAATGGTGCTGCTTCCATCGCGTGGTCAACCCTGTTACGGGGATGGACACGGACAAAGTCAAAGGGTTGGTGAAGCCGCATGAGGGAGACAAGTACCGCTGGCGGCATCTGGTAGATGATCCGATAGATAACGACAAGCAGCTGCTGGTGCACTACCCGTCCCAGTCCTGCACTTACTGCGGGGGGTATCACATGGCAAGGTACCATGATGTCTATGTCACGGTGCGACATAACAACATCAGCAAATGGAGTCTGTCCTTGGGTCAGGTCCATGGGATCAATGGTAATAGACGGTGTCTTTTTTTTGCTTACCTTCGTTTGTTGTCTCTATACCGGTTAAGTGCTAACGCCGTGGGTGTGTCGGATCAGCGCAGCCGCCTCAGTCAGGATCAAAGATCTGACCAGGCTCGTCTTGAAGGACCCGGTAGTGGTGTTGATCTTGACTGGAGGGAACCGCCAGGAATGGATCTGCGTTCAGGAGTGCTGCGACAAGGCGAACGGGGTTACCTTTGCGCAGGCGGTGGAGCATGTGGTCTCACAGCGTCACAGCGATGGGTTGTTGTCCGGCTCCGCGACGCACAGCTCCAAGGCAGGTGTTGCGCTGCCGGCAGCACGAAAGGGGTTCGGTGTGTGATGTTGGTCACGCCGGCTGCGGGAGTTGTGGACAGGATCTGGGGGAAGACAGATATCTACGCAGCATGGAAAGAGCAGGCAGAGTGTGTTAGATGGAGCAGTAGCTTTCACCGCTGTACTTCAGGAAGTGTAGTTGTATCGTCCATTGTAGTGTTACCGCCTTGTGGATGCGAGGGGGCATCAGAGGAGTTATATAATGAATAACGCCAACCGCCTCAGCATCGTGTCCCTGAAGTCAATGGTTCGGGGAGTGCAGGAAAGCAACTGGCACTGAAAAGATGGATCAGGAAGACTGCAGATGTGGTGGTTCTGGCTGATACGCATGTAGCTGAGGATCATAACTTCTGGTCGGAGCTCCAGCCGCACAGTATGGCTGCGGTAGAGGCACCTACCAGAGCAGGAGGGGTAGCTATCCTGTGTTTTCGGGAGGATGTGCTGGTGGAGGATATTAAGCGGCATCCCTCTGGCAGGCTGCTTCATGCTAGAATACGGTGGGGGACGAGACAGGTGCGGTTGCTGGCGGTGTACTTCCCCGCGCAAGCGCCTCCACATGGGAGTTGAACAGAGTTTAGCAAGGTCGCTGCAGATCTGCCAAGGGGGGAGCAGCTGGTAGTAGCACGTGATTTCAAGATGATTGAAGATCCGACATTAGATAAATCGAACCGGCAAGGAGTGACATGTGACAACAGCAGGATGATGCAGATGCTGAGGGACTCTCACGTTAAGGATGTGTTTCGGGAGCTGAATCCGGATGAAAGGCAATTTACCTTTTACCGTGGGTCGGCGAAGGTCAGCTCAAGGATAGACAGGGTGCTGATTTCGCAGTCGTTGCTGCATCTGGTGGCAAGGGTAACTCACCAGTGGATTTCGAAGGGGATCACTGATCACAAGTTCGCGGTCAGGGTGCGGCTGGCGTGGAAGAGGCTGCAATAGACAAGACCCGGGTTCTGGCGGTTTCCAGCACTGCGAAGGTGGGAGCGGTGACTTTGACAAACTGTCAAGAAGCCTGGGAGCTCGCCTGCAAAAATACGGCAAGGAAGAGAAGCGGAGGGTGAAATAGACCAGGCGGACATTGGAAGAGCAAGTTGGTGCCCTGCAGCAAAAGGCGATGGCGGACCCGGGAGATGACAAGTTGCAGGCGTTGTTAACGAGTCGGGAGGCGATGCTGCAAAGGTACTGGGATGGCCGTAGAAACCTCCTGCAGATCCGGACAGGGCTCAAGGTGCAGTTGGAAGGGGAAGCGCCTACCGGGTTTCTGTCGGCGTTGATCAAAAGCAGGAAGGCCAGAACGGGGATCAAGGAGTTGGTGCGTAATGGGATCAGCCATACTGACGCGCGTGCGATCCTGGAAGCGGCCACCAGTCATTTTGCAAAAGTCTTCGATGAGCATCCCACGGGGGACGGAGCCGAGCCAGTGTTGGAGTGGACGCCAAGGAGGGTGCTGGAAGTGGCGCCAGCAGAGATCCTGTCAAGGGACTGGACGGAGAGCGAAGTAAAGAAGGCGATAAGGGAGTTGGCGAATGAAAAGTCGCCCGGCAGGGACGCGCTGCCCAAGGAGTTGTTCCAGTGTCAGTGGGAGTTGCTGAGGGAGCCGGTGATGAAGATGGTCAGGCAGTTCGTCGAGATAGGGAAGCTGTCGGAGGTGGAGAATGAGGCAGTCACGATTCTGCTTTACAAAAAGGGGGAAGAGACGGACGTCAGGAATTACCGGCCAATTACTCTGCTGACAAGCGCATATAAGATCCTGGCGAAGGTGGTGGCGACACGGATGAAAGCGGTGCTAGGTTAAGTAATTTCGGGAGAGAAGTACGGGTTCTTACCTGGTAAGCGGCTCACGGACGCGGTGTCCATGGTGGCGGATATGATCCAGGCGACCAAGAATGAGGGTAGCGACTGGTACCTCCTTCTGATTGACTTTGAAAAAGTGTACGATTCCGTACGAAGGGGGTTCATGCTGGAGACAATCGCCAAGCATGGGTTCCCTCCGCGTTTCGTGGGGTGGATCGAGGCCCTGCACAGTGACGTACACATGAGGCTGTGCATCAATGGGTGGACCGAGGAAAAGATACAGATGCAGAAACAGGTGCGGCAGGGTTGTCCGCTCGCGCCGTACCTCTTCCTGTGCGCGGTGGAGCCCCTGAGCCGGATGACAGAGGAGAGGAAGCTGGGAATCGGGGAGAAGGGCAGCGAAAGGTTGGCGTATGTGGGATACGCGGACGATACCACGTTGTTGTTGGAGGGTGAGCAACAGCTGAAGGAGGCGGGCGAATTGCTGGAGGAGTTCGCAGCGGTGTCGGGCCTGCGGGTCAACAAAGGGAAGTCTGCGGTTTTGCCGCTGGGGAAGAATGTGGAGAAGCAAGCACCAGACGGATTGGGTTACAAGTGGGTTGAGAAGGACGGTGCGGAGAGGCTGTTGGGAGTGTGGATTTCGCCGGGTGGAAATGCTAAGATCACGTGGGAGAAGGCGTTCGATAGAGCGGCGGGAGAGTTAAGTAAGTGGCAAGCCAAGTATTTAACGACGGGGCCAAGGGTGACCATCATCAACAGTTACGTGTTACCGGTGTTTCTCTTTCAGGCGCAGGTGTACCCACCAGACGACCTGCTGTGGAAGCGGGTGGAAACTTTAATCTTCGTGTCAGGCAACCATGCTGATACGGAAAAGCATTCCAGGCTCTAGAGCGGCGGTTTGATGTACGCACCGAGGGAGCTCGGAGGGCTGGGAGTGGTCGACCCAAGAGGAAGGATAGACAGTGTGGCCCTGCGGTATGTGGGGTTGGCGCTGCTGCAGGAGTGTCCTCTCAGGCGAGGGGTGGCGGAGTGTGCAACGGGCTTACCATTGGGCTGGGCGACGTTGTACGCACACAAGGCGGTGCTAAAAGGGGGACTGATCAAAAGCAGGAGGTAGGCAAGGCTGTGCAAAGCGGTGCTGAGCATCACGCTCGGAAGCGGCGGAGGAATATCTGTGTTTCAACAAGTATATCATTCATCGGGGGAAAGCCCCTTTCGGCGGGCAGAAGGGCACCGAGAAGCTGAGGGAATGGAAGATGCGAGACATGGTGCCGAGAAAGTGGGACGGTACTGTCGTACTGAAATCGGAGGAGACACTCACGAGGGAGCCGGGGGGCAAAAAAGAAGCAGAATTGTCGGTCAAGGCATTCTTCACGGCGCCTGAACAGTGGAGGAAGTGGTTGTTGACGCCGCTAACGGCGGAGGAGTTAGCGGCTGAGTCGTCGGCGGTGTGTACCAAACTCCTCGGTGGGCAGAGATGCTTGTGGGAGATATGTGGCGGCATGGGGAGGAAAGTCGATCTGTGTGGGCTGAGCGGGAGCGGTGAGCGCACAGCATGGAATGTTAAGATGGTACTAAGCTGTGAAAGTGTGGTGCCGGTGAAGCTGGGGACCCAAGGGCGTGATTGCTGGGGTCATCCCTGTTCGAGAATAAAAGGGGTGGCTCCGCTGAGGAGACACAGGGAGCCGAGCAAAGGTGCGGAGGCGGTGGAGGTGAAAAGGGCGAACTGGGAGGGCTGAGCGGGCAGGAAAATCGATTGGGAAAGGGGGAGGTGCATCAGGGATTCCCTGGTGACTCTGGTACGGGCGCGCGGCGTTATGCTCCGGGTGCAGAATCTCAACCTCCAGGTGGGGGAGAGGGTTTCGTTCCTGGGGAGCAGGGTGGTTTTCCCACACTGCGGGGAAGTGGAGACATTGGAGCACTGTCTGCTGGAGTGCTCACGCATCGTACCAGTGGTGGCTGCGGTTAAGTCGGCGCTGAGCATGATGCAGCCGATGAGACGCGTGGATTGCTTGGCAGACCTCCTCTTCAGGGCGGAGGAGACGAGGTCCGGTTGTCCGGAAGCAACAATGGTGGCAGTGGTGGTGCATCAAATCTGGTTGGGGAGGTGCGACGTGTCACTACGCAAAGCGAAGAAACTTCAGGTTTGGAAAGTGCTTCGGAAGATTAATGTGGAGTTCAACAAGCATGCAAGGGTCTGCTGTGGCAGGCCAAGCAAACAGGCACGGAACGATAAGGCGAGGTGGAATCTGGCGCACGATGAAGCACGTGTCATGAAGCGGATCTGTGACAGCGAGGCAGTGGGGCTGAGGTGGCAGGGTGGTTTCCAGTCTATCTGGACGAACCCAAGAACCTTCGTGAAACCGCCTTAGAGTCGCAGGGAGGGCTAGGCTTTCGCCTGGCTTGAGCCCTGAGAGTCAGTTACGACTGAAGCGTTTTGCTTGTGCATCTTTTTGTATAAGTTTTCTAAAAAAAAATTATAAATAACTATTACGTCACTTTTTTCTCCAAAACCCATGTTCCTTTGAATGCTGATTCCAACACCATGTGGAATACTCACTGACAATTGTCAGCCTACGGTTGACAATTAACATTGAACGTTGAGGTGACTAAAAGAAATATTTAGTTCAAACACTATATTGCCCACTTCAGACAACGGATGAGCCTACACGAGAAGATTCGACACCCATGTTTGAGAGATGGTAAGTGTGCCACGAAATGCAGTCGACCAGAGTCACCAGACAGGTGCAAAAAGAATCCCATTCCGCAGTTGAAGCAAAGGTCTTGTATCAAGTTGCCTTAAAATTGACGCATCATAAATGTCAAAGTGTAGTTGTCATGTTTGGTTGTTACTCTTCGTAGGCTAGCTTAGGGTTTCCTATTTGTACCCTTGTTTTCCATTCAGTATCAGATTCTCATTTTGACATGGTATCGAGTAGGTTAGGACCTAACATACACATAACAATGATACCATGTGAAAGAATGAACTGAACGGAATTACTAACAACAGACATAATGGATGGATAAGTACAAAATGCGTACCCTCTACGGAGTAACGCAAACTAGCCTACAATATAAGCAACATATAATTTGACACGGCCCAAGGATGGAGGCTGGGCCCCATACGTCCATGTGCAAGGTCCGAAGAGGCGCAATGGTTGGAGGAAACGAGGACTGAGGGGCCGAGCGTTTCCTGCCCTCGACGCAAGGGGTGCACGGCGGCACAGACGAGGGAGGGAGAGCGGGGAGCGACGATGGGAGACCAGAGACAAGACAGTGCTGAGCCATGTGACAAAGACGCGTGAGGGTGGGGTGACCTAGACGGCGGTGCCACAGGAGCGATGGGTGAGTGAGCGACCGACACGAGTACGACGCAGCTACCTGACCAGACGCAAGAACCTGGGTGTACGAAATGTGCAGCGTGAAAAGACATCGCGCAGGGTCTCGGGGGAACGTGGCAAGATGTGCCGAGTGGTACAGTTCGTACAGGTCACGAACGGCTCGTGTCCAGGAAATGTGGTGGTTACACCGAGGTCCTGAAGACGACCGACACCCACCAAGTTCCTAGAGAATGAGGGGATGTGCAGACCAGTGAGGGAGCGAGAGGGGACTGCCGGGTTTATATGTGTGTGTGTGTATATATGTGTGTGCGTGTATTTACATGTGTGTGTGCATTTATATGTGTGTGTGTGTATATCTATGTGTATGAACCATGAACCTTATATATCAATCCTATACACCTTGTCTAGGGTTTTAGTTTTTTTTTCTCCCCC